CAAAGGTTAGTGAGATTCGCCGCCTACACGGTCGGCCATCTTTGTCGTCACCACGCTCATCGCTCGGTCAAGTCGACGTTACGGTCAGTGACACACGCAGCCCCCACAGCGGTAACCGACCTGTGCTTGCAAACACACGTGATCGTCTTTTGTCAATGAATGCCAAGAGTACGCATCTGACCGCTGACCTCGTGTGTCGACTGAAAGAGCTTTTGATTGGTCGAGGCCTGCCTCGGCAGCGCACCCGCCGTGGTGGTAGACGAAAACAACAACACCTTGTCACTCATTCTTTACCAAGACCTACTCTACACTACTCGGACCCTGCCAACCTCATTCACATCAAAACCTCTCCACGTTCTATCAACAAACAGCTTCTCATCGCCACATTCAACGCCCAGTCGCTTGGCCCCTATGAGAAACGAATAGCAGTCTCCGAATTTGTCTCTGATAGGCAGATTGACATACTGTTTATCCAGGAGACCTGGTTTCGGCTGACTGGCGATGAGGGGAAGTGCACTGATCTCGCTCCATATGGCTATTCTACCAGATCATTTCCCCGGTCAACTCGCGGCGGAGGCCTTGCTATTATATATAGTCCCATCATACAGCTTTTGTCACTGACCTCCCATTCGTTCACACATCTTTTGAGGTAGTCCAATTAACACTGTCAGTGCCCCAGCAGACAGTTCATTTCATGTGCATATATCGCACCTTCCCTAGTAAGAAAAATAAACTGACCGACTCAGTGTTTCATCGAGAATTCCCGGATTTGATTGACCACTGCAACACATTGACCAGGACTTACATTGTACTAGGCGACATGAACTTTCATTTCGATCAACCACAGCACCCCTCCACTGCTAGGATGTTGGATCTCTTGGATTTATTCAGTCTTCACCAATCAGTCAACCAACCGTCTCATAATCGTGGACATACTCTTGACTGGGTGCTACATAGGCCTCAAGATGGTGTAGTTAGATCTGCTTCAGTCACTTAATAGCTGTCCTCTGACCACTTCTGTGTTATTTGTGAACTTAATTTTAGTGCCCCCAACCCTCTCCCTCAGTTTAGGGAGGTGTGCAGTCTGCGAACTATAAACCGGGATGCATTTAAGCATGACCTAAGTGTAGAAGTGTCCCCTGCCCTCTGCCCTATATTGGAATCACTAGACCGTGCATTGCGCGTTGTGCTTGACCGGCACGCCCCTGTCATCCGCCGCAATTTTAGTCTAAAGCGGTCATCTCCCTGGTATGCGACCATAAAGGAGGAACTACGCAGTGCCAAGAAAGAGCGCCGTAGTGCAGAAAAGAAGTGGTTAAGGTCAGGTCTTGTGGTTTTTAGGCAGATATTTTACGCTGCCAAGAAGCGTGTCAATCAGATTGTTTGTCGTGCCAAGACTAGGTATTTTAGCCAAAAGATAACTATGGGTAAAACCAGCAGTCAGTTGTTTGATGTTTGTGGTTACCTTAGGGGGAGTAACAAAGGAACTGCGCTTCCTTCGGTGTTTCCCCTGCCACAGCAACCAGATATTTTCTGTGATTTCTTTACAAGCAAAGTAGCTGGCATTCGCGCTGAGATTGATCGTCTTGATGCCCCACCCCTCGAATTGCCTCCTTTCTTTTGTCTTACTTCACATTTCAATATTTTTAAACCTGTTTCAGAACTGGAGGTAAAAATTATAATCCTAAAATCTAAACATACATCATGTTCTTTGGATCCCATCCCAACCCCCCTGTTGGTTGAGTCATTAGATATCTTGCTCCCAACAATAACCGCATAATAAATGAAAGCTTATATTCTGGCACTGTTTCACCTCTTTGCAAATCAGCTGTCATCAAACCATTGCTTAAGAAGCCCGGTCTGGATGAAAATAAATTAAAAAACTATAGACCTGTATCTAACTTATCATTTGTATCTAAAGTTATTGAAAAACTAGTCCTAAAACAACTTTTTGCTTACTTAAATAACCACACTCTTCTCAGTTCTAATCAGTCGGCCTATAGACATATCCATAGCACGGAGACAGCTCTCTTGAGAGTCAGTAATGACCTCTTGCGTGCAATGGACAGCGGTAATGTCTCCATTTTGATCCTCTTTGACCTCAGTGCCGCCTTTGACACTGTTGACCATGAAATCCTTTTAAAACCCTTGAAAACTACTTTGGAATTTCTGGTTCGGTTTTGGCTTGGTTTAGGTCCTACCTCTGTGATCGAACGCAAATGGTCTCTGTCGATGGCTGTCTCTCCGGCAGTGCTGATTTGGTGTACAGAGTACCACAGGGGTCCGTTTTGGGTCCGGTTCTATTCGTAATGTATACCAGGCCACTGCTCCTCTTGCTCGGGAGGCATGCTGTTGAGAACCAGTCATTTTCAGATGATACGCAGCTATACATGCATACCCATCCATCTCTTGTCGATTCCGCTGTCCAGACTTTGCGGGGGTGCATTGATGATGTCAAGTCTTGGATGACACTCAGCAAGTTGAAGCTTAATGATGACAAAACAGAAGCACTCCTCATTTACAATCACAAATCATCCTCTACCTCAACTCTTCCCACCTCATTTCAAGTAGGTAACTCCGACATACAGTTTACACCCTCTGCTAGGAATCTTGGTTATATTCTTTCTAACAACATGTCTCTCGATAAACATATCTCTCACATTTGTCGTTCGGCATACACCGCCATCCGTCAGATCAGCTCCATCCGCCACTACCTGACAGTTAGCGCAACAAAAACTCTAGTCTGTGCTCTTGTTCTCTCTCGTCTTGACTATTGCAACTCACTTCTGTCAGGTTCACCGAAACATTTTATAGAAAAACTGCAGAAAGTTCAAAACTCTGCTGCTAGGCTTGTTCTTAAGTCTAAAAAACGCGATCACGTCACTCCACAACTTTACTCACTACATTGGCTCCCTATATAGGCACGCATTGACTACAAGCTGTCTGTTCTCTGTCACAACTTTTTCTCGGATTCCTGCCCATCCTATCTAACTGAACTTCTTTCTGTCTTTCCTTCCACAGCTTCGCTCCTCTGCAGACACGCGTATTCTGTCCGTTCCCAAGACACACACTAAAACATATGGTGAACGATCTTTCTCTTTCTGCGCCCCCAAACAATGGAATTCTTTGCCACTACACATCCGCAATATAACAACCACACAGGCCTTCAAAACTGCACTCAAAACACATCTATTTAAACTATACTACTCTGACTGATTCTCCTCCTATAAACCGATAAACGTACATGGGTTTCCTTGTAAAAATGTCTGGTGTGGGTGGATGAATATACCTCTGGTGTTGTTTTGCTTATATGTTGTTTTTATTTCATTTATGTATTTTATTTTAATATTATGATTATGCCTCTTTGCTATATTTATGTACAGCGCGGTGAGCCCAGCCCTAGGCTGGAGTACCGCGCTATATAAGACCACTTATTATTATTACTATTATTAAGGATCAGCCGTAACAGAAACCCCAGACACATTCAGAAATCTTAGACCACACAGCCAAAGTCAGCATCTGCGCACCCAGAGACAGACTCGTACATCTGCGCACTCACAGATAGAATCGTACATCTGTGCACTCACAGACAGAATCGGGCATATGCGCACTCACAGACAGAATCGAACATATGCTCACTCACAGACAGAATCGGACATATGCGCACTCACAGACAGAATCGGACATATGCGCACTCACAGACATAATCGTGCATATGCACACTCACAGACATAATCGGGCATATGCGCACTTACAGACAGAATCGTACATATGCGCACTCACAGACAGAATCGGGCATATGCGCACTCACAGACAGAATCGGGCATATGCGCACTCACAGACATAATCGTACATATGCGCACTCACAGACAGAATCGGGCATATGCGCACTCACAGACATAATCGTACATATGCGCACTCACAGACAGAATCGGGCATATGCGCACTCACAGACAGAATCGGACATATGCGCACTTACAGACAGAATTGGACATATGCGCACTCACAGACAGAATCGGACATATGCGCACTCACAAACAGAATCGGACATATGCGCACTCACAGACAGAATCGGACATATGCGCACTTACAGTCAGAATTGGACATATGCGCACTCACAGACAGAATCGGACATATGCGCACTCACAAACAGAATCGGACATATGCGCACTCACAGACAGAATCGGACATAGGCGCACTCACAGACAGAATCGGACATATGCGCACCCACAGACGGAATCGGACATAGGCGCACTCACAGACAGAATCGGACATATGCGCACTTACAGACAGAATCGGACGATCGCGCATTCATAGACAGGACCAGATCCATCAACTACGAATGAGATATCATACAGGAGAAGGGCAAATGGGCAAATCTTTTACATCTGACCAGGAGTAGGATTTGAAAATTCCGACAACTCCTGAAACTTAGAACGCAAAAAAAAAGCACTATGAATCACAAAAGACACGTGGCTGGTCATCTACGTCATCGATTTCCAGTGGTCTCGAATAATTCTTGCCAATGGATGAAATAGCCAAAGAACTAGAGAGTAAGGCTGTCGAATTGAGCGACTAGGCCTCACCTTGTACAAAAATAGAGTTTAAGGCAAGTCTGTAAAATGCCCCTGTTATCGAAGCATGCTAAGGATGAACGTTCAACAAAATTATTTGTGGCCTAGTTTTAGACTGCCTCATTCATACTTTTTACTGTGACAAAAAGAAGCAACTGTTGAATGTTCATTGTATGAACCTGCAGGCTAATGTCAAACTCCCGGCATGTTGATGGCTTTACTTCAGATATGTTTACACGTTGTTCATGCTTCACATCAACACTGATTCAACACATGACCTTTTTTTTTTTTTTTTCTTCAATCTTTTCCCTCATTAGTTTTAAAAAAAAAAATTAAAAAAAAAAAAATAATTCCTGCGACTATTTATGGAAGCGTAAATAATGAATTATGTCATTTTAAATTATTCTAGAATACAACTATTTTCACAACAACTTCACCCAATTTGGAGTTGGAATCGATTACAGAATTTTTTCCGCCTACACCCACGGTACGGACGAGACGAATCCTATTGCGTGGTTTAGGACTGACTTTGATTCGACTGTCAACGCGGTGAGGGTCCAGGCTTACTTTACGGAAGGGAATGATACAAGCATTATGGAAGTACAGGAATTTGAAAGCTACGGTGGTAAGCTGTATCACTGGAAACCTTTTTTAAAAAAAAACATATCAAGTGTAACTTTTTTTCTGGCATCCGTCCGTCAGAAAAGGACTTCACGGGACAAAGTCCACAGAGCCTGGGATTATTTTTTTTATTATTAATAGCTGGTTCCCTGCACGCAGCGAATCGCCCCCCCCCCCTTTCCTCTTGTTTTAAATTCGGAGATTACTTCCATTAGATAAGTTGCCATCCAAGGTTAACGGGTCCCATCCACGTTTAGTGATGGTGTTGTTTTTGGCTTGACTGTGCTTAGGTGAAAATTGAATTCAAGACCGTGAACTTGAGATTGGCTCAGGTCAAACCATTCGGCCACACAGCATCCAAGTGTGCTATTAACTAAAATGAAATAATTAAAATTTCTCATTCATTTGAGAAGAACAAATTTAAGCTGGATTTATTTTTAAAAATTAAAAAAATAAATTGCTTAGCGATTTTTGTTGATTAGAAAGCTTTTTTTTTTATCGCATGATCACTTTCAAAACGAAATGTGTTATTTAGACCAATCAACAAATTTTCAAAAAAACTTACATGACACATACTATCTTGTATAATAAGGTCACGTGACAACTAAAATGAACACATTAGACGGTAAGGGGGTAAGCGAATAACTGGGAGGAAAAATACAACGCACACTGAGTCTGTATCATAACTGATGCTGCCATCCATAGCATGAGAGTATCATAACTGATGCTGCCATCCATAGCATAACTGTATCATAACTGATGCTGCCTTCTATAGCATGACTGTATCATAACTGATGCTGCCTTCTATGGCATGACTGTATCATAACTGATGCTGCCTTCCATAGCATGACTGTATCATAACTGATGCTGCCTTCTATAGCATGACTGTATCATAACTGATGCTGCCTTCTATAGCATGACTGTATCATAACAGATGCTGCCTTCTATAGCATGACTGTATCATAACTGATGCAGCCTTCTATGGCATGACTGTATCATAACTGATGCTGCCTTCCATAGCATGACTGTATCATAACTGATGCTGCCTTCCATAGCATGACTGTATCATAACTGATGCTGCCATCCATAGCATGAGTGTATCATAACTGATGCTGCCATCCATAGCATAACTGTATCATAACTGATGCCTTCTATAGCATGACTGTATCATAACTGATGCTGCCATCCATAGCATGAGAGTAGCATAACTGATGCTGCCTTCTATGGCATGAGTGTATCATAACTGATGCTGCCTTCCATAGCATAACTGTATCATAACTGATGCTGCCTTCTATGGCATGAGTGTATCATAACTGATGCTGCCTTCCATAGCATAACTGTATCATAACTGATGCCTTCTATAGCATGACTGTATCATAACTGATGCTGCCATCCATAGCATGAGAGTAGCATAACTGATGCTGCCTTCTATGGCATGACTGTATCATAACTGATGCTGCCTTCCATAGCATGAGTGTATCATAACTGATGCTGCCTTCTATAGCATGACTGTATCATAACTGATGCTGCCTGCTATGGCATGACTGTATCATAACTGATGCTGCCTTCTATAGCATGACTGTATCATAACTGATGCTGCCTTCTATAGCATGACTGTATCATAACTGATGCTGCCTTCTATAGCATGAGTGTATCATAACTGATGCTGCCTTCTATAGCATGACTGTATCATAACTGATGCTGCCTGCTATGGCATGACTGTATCATAACTGATGCTGCCTTCTATAGCATGAGTGTATCATAACTGATGCTGCCTTCTATAGCATGACTGTATCATAACTGATGCTGCCTTCTATAGCATGACTGTATCATAACTGATGATGCCTTCTATAGCATGACTGTATCATAACTGATGATGCCTGCTATGGCATGACTGTATCATAACTGATGCTGCCTTCTATAGCATGAGTGTATCATAACTGATGCTGCCTTCTATAGCATGAGTGTATCATAACTGATGCTGCCTTCTATAGCATGACTGTATCATAACTGATGCTGCCTTCTATAGCATGACTGTATCATAACTGATGCTGCCTTCTATAGCATGACTGTATCATAACTGATGCTGCCTTCAATAGCATGACTGTTTCATAACTGATGCTGCCTTCCATAGCATGACTGTATCATAACTGATGCTGCCTTCCATATCATGACTGGATCATAACTGATGCTGCCTTCTATAGCATGACTGTATCATAACTGATGCTGCCTTCCATAGCATGACTGTATCATAACTGATGCTGCCTTCTATAGCATGACTGTATCATAACTGATGCTGCCTTCCATAGCATGACTGTTTCATAACTGATGCTGCCTTTCATAGCATGACTGTATCATAACTGATGCTGCCTTCCATAACATGACTGGATCATAACTGATGCTGCCTCCCATAGCATGACTGTTTCATAACTGATGCTGCCTTCCATAGCATGAGTGTATCTTAACTGATGCTGCCTTCCAGAGCATGACTATATCATATATAACCTGTATTATCTACTTCAGCCCAATTCCTTCTTGGGTACCTCGATATTACCTTTCAAAGAGAGGTCCGCTGGGACCAGCACATTCACAATGTCTGCAATCAAGCAAACAAGACCCTAGGTTTCTAAAGCAAAATGTAAAGATCGGGTATTCCAAAGTGAAAGAAAGAGCATTTGAAGCCGTTGTCCGGCAGCTTTTAGATTATGCATCTTCAGTTTGGGACCCATCCACCCAGCAGAGCATCGCCAGTTTGGAGGCGGTCCAGTGACGGCCAGCGTGCTTTGTTCTGAACCGCTACGGGAAGCTTAGAGAAGAAGCTTTTATTTCTTGCTCGTATTTAAGCGGATTGTTTCATCCTTGATTTAACGTTAACCCAATCAGATCTTTAGCACACGCATTGCGTCAACGAGGGAGAGAGAGGAAGAGAGACAGAGAAAGTGAGAGATGAATAGAGATGTATGGATAGAGATAGAGGGAGGATATAAAGAGAAAGGGATCGCGTTAGAAACAAAAAACAAGTGAAAGGAAGAAAGGGAGACATAGAGAGAAAAAGATCCTTAAATTAATAGAGAGATAGTCAAAGATAGACAGCGATATATAATAATAGAGAGATCTAGAGAGAAAGAGAGAAATATTAGGAGAGAGATATATAGAGAGATAATTAGATGTAGGAAGAGGCAGATCAAATAAAATATACAGAGAGATAGAGACAAATGAAAAGAAATATACTGATATAGGGGGCAAGAGAGGAAATGTGAGAGAAAGGGAGAGAGAGAGAGAGAGAAAAAAATGGGTATATATATAGAGAGAGAGAGAGAAAGAGAGAGAGAGAGAGATTATAGATAGATTGTAATAGAGAGAGAAAGCGAGATATTGATAGTAATAGAAAGATATAGAGAGATAGGGAGACAGCTGTGGTAAGAGTAGCGTTTAGCTTCTAGGGTGTACATTGTGTGGTCAAATAAGATGGTAGTTGCTTGAGTATATTATTATGTGGTCAGATAAGATGTTAGTTGCTTGAGTATATCATTGTGTGGTCATATAAGATGTTAGTTGCTTGAGTATATCATTGTGTGGTCAGATAAGATGTTAGTTGCTTGAGTATATCATTGTGTGGTCAAAAAAGATGCTAGTTGATTAAGTATATTATTGTGTCGTCAGATAAGATGTTAGTTGATTGAGTATATTATTGTGTGGTCAAATAAGATGCTAGTTGATTGAGTATATTATTGTGTGGTCAGCTATAATGTTGGTTGCTTGAGTATATCATTGTGTGGTCAGAATAGCTGATAGGTGCTTGAGTATATTATTATGTGGTCAGCTAAGATATTAGTTGCTTAAGTATATCATTGTGTGGTCAGATAAGATGTTAGTTGCTTGAGTATATCATTGTCTGGTAAGGACAGCTGATAGGTGCTTGAGTATATCATTGTGTGGTCAGATAAGATGTTAGTTAATTGAGTATATTATTGTGTGGTCAAATAAGATGCTAGTTGCTTGAGTATATTATTGTGTGGTCAGCTAAGATGTTAGTTGCTTGAGTATATCATTGTGTGATCAGAATAGCTGATAGGTGCTTGAGTATATTATTTGTGGTCAGCTAAGATGTTAGTTGCTTGAGTATATCATTGTGTGGTCAGAATAGCTGATAGGTGCTTGAGTACATTATTTTGTGGTCAGCTAAGATGTTAGTTGCTTGAGTATATCATTGAGTGGTCAGAACAGCTGATAGGTGCTTGAGTACATTATTGTGTGGTCAGCTAAGATGTTAGTTGATTGAGTATATCATTGAGTGGTCAGAATAGCTGATAGGTGCTTGAGTACATTATTGTGTTGCCAGCTAAGATATTAGTTGCTGGAGTATATCATTGTGTGGTCAGAATAGCTGATAGGTGCTTGAGTACATTATTCTGTGGTTAGCTAAGATGTTAGTTGCTGGAGTATATCATTGTGTGGTCAGAATAGCTGATAGGTGCTTGAGTACATTATTGTGTGGTCAGCTAAGATGTTAGTTGCTGGAGTATATCATTGAGTGGTCAGAATAGCTGATAGGTGCTTGAGTACATTATTGTGTGGTCAGCTAAGATGTTAGTTGCTGGAGTATATCATTGAGTGGTCAGAATAGCTGATAGGTGCTTGAGTACATTATTGTGTTGTCAGCTAAGATGTTAGTTGCTGGAGTATATCATTGAGTGGTCAGAATAGCTGATAGGTGCTTGAGTACATTATTGTGTGGTCAGCTAAGATGTTAGTTGCTGGAGTATATCATTGAGTGGTCAGAATAGCTGATAGGTGCTTGAGTACATTATTGTGTTGTCAGCTAAGATGTTAGTTGCTGGAGTATATCATTGAGTGGTCAGAATAGCTGATAGGTGCTTGAGTACATTATTGTGTGGTCAGCTAAGATGTTAGTTGCTGGAGTATATCATTGAATGGTCAGAATAGCTGATAGGTGCTTGAGTACATTATTGTGTGGTCAGCTAAGATGTTAGTTGCTGGAGTATATCATTGAGTGGTCAGAATAGCTGATAGGTGCTTGAGTACATTATTGTGTGGTCAGCTAAGATGTTAGTTGCTGGAGTATATCATTGAGTGGTCAGAATAGCTGATAGGTGCTTGAGTACATTATTGTGTTGTCAGCTAAGATGTTAGTTGCTGGAGTATATCATTGTGTGGTCAGAATAGCTGATAGGTGCTTGAGTACATTATTTTGTGGTCAGCTAAGATGTTAGTTGCTGGAGTATATCATTGTGTGTTCAGAATAGCTGATACGTGCTTGAGTATATTATTTGTGTGGACAGCTAAGATGTTAGTTGCTGGAGTAAAGCATTGTGTGGTCAGAATAGCTGATAGGTGCTTGAGTATATTATTTGTGTGGTCAGCTAAGATGTTAGTTGCTGGAGTATATCATTGGGGGGTCAGAATAGCTGATAGGTTCTTAAGTGTACCATTGATCTTGAAGTAGAGCTTCTGCCTTTTGTTTGAGTGGAGTTCCCGACTTTTATGGATCAACATAATGTCTTCAGCCGACATGTCTTCATTGTGTTACCTTCATCGCCCAAGATGGCGGATAATATGGACGATGCGCCCATTCCAAGATGGCGGATGTGACTTTTTTTAGGGTTAGGGTTTGAAGCCTATGATGTCAATGAATTTAATCCAAACGCTTTTAAACTACAAAATTAAAAACAAATAAAATATCATTATAAAAAGCAAATACAAATGTATCCCATCTTGATAGCACATTTTACAAATTATCCCATCTTGATAGCACATTTTACAAATTATCCCATCTTGATAGCACATTTTAAAAATTTACCCCACCTTGATAGCACATTTTACAAATTTATTTCATCTTGAAATCTCATTTTACAATAAATTTATCCCATCTTGATAGCACATGTTACAAATTTATCCCATCTTGATAGCACATTTTACAAATTTATTTCATCTTGAAATCTCATTTTACAAATTTATCCCATCTTGATAGCACATTTTACAAATTTATTTCATCTTGAAATCTCATTTTACAAATTTATCCCATCTTTATAGCACATTTTATAAATTTATCCCACCTTTATAGGACTTTTTATAAATGTATCCCATCTTGATAGCACATTTTACAATTTATCACCCGTTGATAAGATATTTTAGAAATTTAACTCGCCTTGATAGCAAATTTAACACATTAATCAAGACTTATTAGCAAATGTTAGGCAATTCTAGAGCCTTGAAAGCCCACTTCAAACATGAACACGCCTTAGGCACATGTTATACATTCATCACGCTTTGATGGCACATTTTACAAATGTATCCCACCTTGATAGCATATTTTACGCATTATCACGTGTTCATAGCTCATTTTATACGTATAATATGACTTGATTCTACAAGACGAGATGAAAAACTATTACCAATGCTGAAAAAATTATCACAGGTGCATTCGAGGCTCCTGCAAAGATTGACAGAGAGTGGTAAATTGTGATAGTGGGATAAAAAATAAAGAGTGATAGAGAAAGATTTTGATAGAGAGATACAGAGACATACGTATAGATAGAAAAATACAGCCAGGGATAGCGACAGCAATATATGAGGAAAAAAAAAGTTTATAACTGCCTTCATTTTCGAACAAAAGAATCCTTATGAACTTATTGTGACATTGGAATCACTGCATGCTCCACTTGGTCTATTTGTCTCCGTGCCGACAGAGTGCCCGGCTGGAAGATACAATCTTCAGTGCTCCTCGACTTGTCCCGAAAACTGCGACCCGCAAGGATGTCTCGAGATATACGGCCTCTGCTACCGTTGCAAAGATGGAAGAGAAGTTTCTAACTGCCCAGGTAAGATTCTAATTGCATTCTAATTTCTTCCAGCTTAGCAGCATTGTTTGTTGTTTTTTTTATTTTAAAAAAAAAATCTTTTTTTTACAAGGTAAAGATCGTGTCCAATGGGTGCATCTCCATTTTGCTTCCGTGAAGCAAATTTTATCGGCGTGGCTGTGTGACAGAGATAACTTCAAAGTGAATTGAGAAACGACGGAGAAGGAAAGAGAAAGAGAGGTGGACAGAGGGAGAAAGGAATGTGGTGAGGCAGTGATGGAGAACGAGAGAGGGAAAGAGAAAACTAGACGTTAAGTTATTCTGATATTATTGGTCTGTGATGATTCGCCAACACCGATTCACCTCTGCCCCTCTGCCCCTCTGCCTCCGTTTTGCCACTTGGACTTTTCGCTGCAGCCGTTTGGCCACTGGGACGTTGGGCTGCCGGCCATTTGGCCGTCGGTCCATTTCACCAAAGATGATACAGAAATTGCTTTAATTTGAAAATGATAGATCTTGTCTAGGGGTTAGTTATATTAACTTCACAAACATTTGGTTATTAGAATACAGTATCTGTATTAAACGCAACGAAATCGTCATCTTCCATTACTCGATCACAGCCACTTGAGTCATAAACGTATACGTCATTTCCCTAAACCACAAAATATGTCAAAGATCAACAAGTAATCACAATATCCATAAGCATCCTTAACATTTCCCCCCCCCCCACATCGTTAGGGATATTAATTCGGAAAAGTGATGTCACGCACAGAGCTATTTTAAAACAAAAGTGTAAGCATTTTTCACAACAACATCCAGCAGGACAAACTTCAATGCCTAACGTTAACTTCTTTAGATTTAAGAGCGAGTGACCTTTTTAATGTAACAAAAAAACCAAAAACAACTTAGATCTCATACTCAAAATAGGAAAAAGTTATTACGTTGACAATAAACGTTATGGTCAGGCACACAGAAATTGACCACAAGACAAACTCTGCCTGTCAATAGGGGGAAAGCAAATGTCAACATCTATGAACTCATGTGGACATCCTTAAATTGTCGAGTCCGGTATTCAGATTTAAAAAGGACGGGATATTGCGCCAGTCAGTCACTTGACAAAAGGCGTGCACGTTTTTCCCAGCAGCTCAACTCTTTCCTCTCAGTTCTCACTTGCCTCATTACACTTTGGTCTTTTGACACATTGTCAACCGGCAAATGAAACCTGATTTATTTAAATTTTTAAACATAACGATTTCAAAATCATAAAAACTGTAATAACAAACATAATTAGAGCAATCCGTTGTAATGACAAGAATTTCAACAACCTCACCTCCCAACTCATGGAAAGCACACATATTCTAAAATAAAAACACGAAAAACTGAGCTATTATGGCTCTAAAACTTTGAGCACTCCTGGCTCTCGTGATATAATAGAGTAAATAAGTAACATACATGAACATTCAAACAAAGTTTCTCTCCTACCCCCATCTCAGGGGAAATAAACTCACACCCTTAACGTAATATTCATAATCAGGATTAAACACGTTTATGTCAGCACCACCACGGTTCTCATTCATTGAGCAACACGTGTCTCCCACACCACAAAATTCACTCGAAAAGCCTTCTACCTTCGTAGAACCACGTAAGGTGATCTTCTATGACCTCAACTTTGTTGAACTTACATCCGCTGAAAAAGCTCACGACCTCTATTTCATGATCTCCGTTGCTTGTCAAATTCTCAATATTATTAACATCTCTCTCTCTCACCAAATTCAACATCTCCTTAAAGGATAAAAATCAAGAAATCCCTCTTGTACCAAACTAACATCCCATTGCTGTACAAAATCAACAATTCCCTCTTGTACCAAATCAAAATCTCCTTGCGGTACCAAATCCACATCTTCTTGCTATACAAAATCAACATCTCCTTCTTGTACCTAATAACATCTTCTTTCTGAAAAGAACAACAAATGCTTCTTGTGCCAATCCAGCTCTATCTGCAGTCTCTATGTCACAGGAAACATTCTCAAGACTACATCGTGTTACGCCTACATTCATTAACACTGCGTCAATTTTCTCACACGCAGCCCCAAATTTTTCTACATTCTGGCTAGCAAAATTCCTAACTGACTTCTGATTTTCAGCTGCATTTCAAATATCACTGGCTTCCAGAAAGTTGACGGAATGCTCAGATAGGTTGGGAATTAAATTGCATGGTTATGATACAAAGATTCATTTACTTTCTGTGACCAGCGTGTACATCACGTGCCTAACTGTTCACCTTTTCCCGTGAGTCACTAAACTCTAGCAAGAGCAGTTTATGCCTCATACATCTGGTACTCCAGCGCATTGTCTTGAACAGCCATCTCTGTAAGAAGGTATTGGATTGTTATACACCAGTGATCCATGCAATGCGCTACGCGCGAAATACACACAGGCACAAAAACAGCGTGAGTTCGGTTAAGCCCAATTTTGAATAATCGGCTTTCGGTAAATTGAAATTTTTCTGTTTAAGTTTTTGAATTTTTAAACAAGAAAATAATCCTCTCTAAAATTATAGTAAAATATATATTTTGTAAAAAAAAAAAATAATAATTGCTATATATCTGAAGCGAAAAAAAAAATGACGGCGAAATGGAGGCGGCGAAACAAGGACAGCGATGAAATGACTGAGACGAATGCTACAATACCGTCTCTTGGCGTACACAAATGGTTTCTTGGAGCTGCAAGAATGTCTAATGGTGCAATTTTGGACGTGATTGATATCTCTAGCTAAAGTGGATCATATCCTAAAAACTATCTTGGAATTTTGTTTTTGCGGTTTTTTTTTAGCCCCGTCCACTAATTTTCATCGACAGATCTTTCAACATCCACAACAACCGTCACGACAACTCCAGCAAACACCACTGAGTCACCGGAGAACGTCACCATCGCTCCGACAAACGATGACAGCGGCATGGGCGGCGACATGGGTGGTGGCGCGGGTGGCGGCATGGGTGGCGTGACGGGCACGTTGCGGACGCTGCCACCGATGTCCACGGTCGTGGCCCGCCCGCCGAAGTCGGAGAACCTGTGGGAGTACATCGTGTACGGGCTCGTGTCTGCCGCCACGGTGCTGGCGGTCGTCCCTCTTCTCTGCCTGTGTCACGCCAGGTGTGCGAAACCAGTAGGGGAGGCCGAGGCGCAGGGGGAGATGGGCAACGCCCCAGCCGATGGCTACAGTGGTAAGCAGTTGGATGAGATGTAGTCGCTCACGCGTAACGTCTTGCTGTGGCGTTATTTGAATTTTGCTCGTTGAAAAGGGGTTTGAGAAATCACTGCTGTCAGTGGGAACGTTGTTTTGGTCCGTGCCATTCGCGTTTTTATTGTGCCTCAATGAACATTGGATAACAGGAATAGAATATTAGACAAGTTTGTGGCTATAAGGCGTGGGAGAGATAGAGTGGGAAAGATAGAGTGGGAGAGATAGAGTGGCAGAGATAGAGTGGGAGAGATAGAGTGGGAGAGATAGAGTGGGAGAGATAGAGTGGGAGAGATAGAGTGGGAGAGATAGAGTGGGATAGATAGAGTGGGAGAGATAGAGTGGGAGAGATAGAGTGGGAGAGATAAACTGGGAGAGATAGAGTGGAAGAGATGGAGTGGGAGATATAGAGTGGGGGAGATTGAGTGGGAGAGATAGAGTGGGAGAGATTGAGTGGGAGAGATTGAGTGGGATAGATTGAGTGTGAGAGATTGAGTGGGAGAGATAGAGTGGGAGAGATTGAGTGGGAGGGATTGAGTGGGAGAGATAGAGTGGGAGAGATAGAGTGGGAGAGATAGAGTGGGAGAGATTGAGTGGGAGAGATTGAGTGGGATAGATTGAGTGGGAAAGATTGAGTGGGAGAGATAGAGTGGGAGAGATTGAGTGGGAGAGATAGAGAGATTGGACGAGGGAGCGAGTGAACTAAGGCGATAATCATAAGACATTCGTGAGTAATATATATATAAATAAATCTGATCATACATCACAAATTTTGTATAGCAGATAGCCAAAATCAGCTCGAGAAGGACAAATTCCTTCTCCTAAAGTTAGAACGCAAGATATTCTTTGTCTCCATTCTGAACGAATTTACCAGCGTTTGTGAAGCTCAAGTGATCACAAATTAAGTTATAATATCACTAAAAGATTTTATTGATGATTTTAGAAAAAAAAATGTTGATGTCATGTATGTGTTTAAATTGTTATAATTGTGAAATGTTGTCTTTGTTAAAATGTCTTATTTACATAGATGAAAATTAATTTTTTAAAATAATTCTACTGATTTTGATCAATTAATTTTTTTATCCCATCTTATCCTATCGTAGTCTATATTATAATGATGAGTTTAGTATACGGAATATAAAAATTAAATATTTGACTAAAAACAGATTTACAGAATGAATCTATCGGCCTTTATAACGAAAAACGTTATATTTATTGACAAATATTTATTTTGAAAAATCGACCGAGAGATTGATAGGAAATATGGATTCGTATGGTTTTATTTGTCAACTGTAATAGCCATGTTTCAGAATCAACCGAACTTTATGTTTGAAATGGTGCCCCCGTGAGAAAGGGGAGCTGCGGGCGGGTAGGGATGGGGGGAGGTGAATAGGGCGGACTTAGCGGCGTAAATTCACACACAGTTACAAGGCACCGCACGGCAGATGCAGCAGGTAGCCACTGTCGCTAGCTGTAACTTAAAGGGCGTTGCCTTGACACCAAACCAGAACATGTGTGTGTGTGTTAGCTAGTCCGTTATCTCAGGAAAATTACCTTGAAACTTTGTCATGTAGATACGACCTGACGCTTAAATAAGGGATGTTTTAGATATGTTTTGGTGTTACTTAACTTTGTGGCAAGACGTAAGCTACGTCAAAATGTCACGCTCTCGTAGAATATTAACTTTCATATTTTAATTTAGAAACTATTTTCATATTTAAATTGCCTTGAATTTAAAAAAAGTCTATTGCAGGTTTTGTTGGAGACTATATCAACTTTGAAGTAACGCCCATGTTAACCAGTTATTTTCCAAATATATTCACTTTTGCTACATTTTACTCGTCGTCTCTGTAGCCCTAATACACTTAATCAACTTAACAATGCATTTCTTATAAAAAATGCATTTTGCCATAAGACTGTATTAGTTAGACTGGCTTACTATGAATGAACAAAAAGTTTTAAAAAAAAAAACACTTTTTTTCTGTGGACTTTTGAATGCAAGTCTGCTTTTGTTCCTCCAAACATGTTCTTCTACAACGCATTGTTATTCTAATCGTGTCAACAGATATGGACCGGAAGTTGACGCCGGCAGAGCTCATGGCCCTGTCCAAAGGGACTCTTTCGAAAGCATCAGGCCTGTCAAAAAGTACGACCTCGGGAGTTTCAGCCCCATCACAAGGCACCAGAAGATCCCACGAGGCGTCGAGCTATTACTCGGAGGCGATCACTGACAACACCACCAGAACACAGTCGACCTTAATATTTTAACGTGGAGACTTTTTGTGCCATGGCTGTCGAAATGTTTCGTATGACCAAGATGTGACGTATATATTATGTTTGCTATTATTATTATCATTATTATTATTATTACAGTGGTCTCATATAGTGTGGTAGCCAAGCCTAGGGCTGAGGTCATTGAGCTTCACATAAATATGTATACATAATAATATATATGAATATATATTTATGTATATATATATATATATATATATANAGATAGCAAGAGAGAACGAGATATAGACAGACTTAAATTGATATAATAGCGATGGGTATAATATTTTACAGATCATTAACATATTTGCCTACGGGGTTCACAGAAGTCAAAATCAAGAATGCATTATACTTGACGTAAAAACAACAGTAACAGGCACTTAAGCAAGGTAATTAAATATAAAGCCTGTCTGGATGCGAGGTTAGCATACCTTTCACAGCCTAGAAAACAACAGGGAACCGGCCTGTCGGTATTGCAGCCTAGTCCCAGAAACACGAGCACATCTGTTGACTAAATGCCCCGCGCTATATGCGGCGCAGGAAACCCAGGGCGTCGTGAGAGTCATACGTTAAGACGCAGCCAGTCAGATAAAGCTGGTTACCATTGAACTGGCCGGGGATTTAAGAGCGTCAGATCGAACCCCAACCAGAATATGTGTGTTTGTTGGACGCGAGGTTTAAACACCCGTCAATATAAGGATTATCAACGCAATTGCATAACTTAAGTTAGTGATTTGAGGTAAAAATAAGAACAGCTCTCTGGTTCTATTCTATAGCCGCATTAGTGAATTGAGAGGAATTTTCAAAAATCTTTAATTTATAAATAAAATTCCGATGTACAATGTAAACTAAAACAGTCAATGGTAATTCGTTGTTTTAGTCCTGAAGATAAGTGGAACAGACCAAAGAATTAAGAATGTTGTCATTTGTAGTCCAGTTTTTCTAGCAAACGTTTTTAAAATCTGTATTTCACCATAAGGATATTTTTTTGTGTGGTTGCTTTTAAAAAAAAATATATTTTCTAACATAGCTTTTGGAAAGATTCGCTATGTTAGACTAATTTGTTGACATCAGAGTCGAGTTAAGCAACTAAACACCATTTAGAGCTCAAACATCGCGTGGCACCAGTCCAAATATTTACCACATATCTCTATGCAGAAAAAAAAAATCTTCCAATATTTGGAATTAGTTTGTTGGAATGTATCCTAACGCCACTGGGGTAAAAATTTCGTTTAAAAATAATTTAAAATTTTGAAATGATTAGATTTAAAATAAAACGAATACATGCAAAACAAAAATTAATTTAAAAAAAAATCCAAATTGAATGAATGTGTGTGTCTCTCTGTGTGTTGTACTGTGATTCAAGGCGCCTTTAACCAAATTTCAATTTTGCAACAGCAATCTATGCGCTGAATGAAGTTCCGTTTCTCAACAAATATCAGCTGTCCATAAGTGTTGGTCGGCCTCCATTTAGTTATTTTTTTTTTATATTTTTTTTTTTGGTTTTATTATGGAAGTGAATGTTCCGCACAGTACAATTTATCACGCCTTGTTTAACTAACACATTTGAAATGAATTTGTTGTCTACGCAAAATGAACACTCTTGATTCAATAAAACAAGTGTGAATAATGTTCTACGTTTTATATTTGTACCTGTAGGTCATGAAAATTGTTTTGTGTTTTTTAAATTTGTATATCTCTATAAATATCCCGGTGTTTGTTACTAGGAATAACAAATACGTCGGGCTGAACACTTTTGCACTTGAAAACTTTGTAATGTTTTAATTTAAAAAAAAAAAAAAAGAGCGGGGGACAGCAGTCTGAACGGACGGTTTGACAAAGAGGGAGATTTGGAGATAGGGTTTGACAAAGAGGGAGATTTGGAGATAGGGTTTAACAAAGAGGGAGATTTGGAGATAGGGTTTGACAAAGATGGAGATTTGGAGAGACGGTTTGACAAAGATGGAGATTTGGAGAGACGGTTTGACAAAGATGGAGATTTGGAGAGACGGTTTGACAAAGATGGAGATTTGGAGAGACGGTTTGACAAAGATGGAGATTTGAAGAGGCGGTTTGACAAAGATGGAGATTTGAAGAGACGGTTTGACAAAGATGGAGATTTGAAGAGGCGGTTTGACAAAGATGGAGATTTGAAGAGACGGTTTGACAAAGAGGGAGATTTGGAGATAGGGTTTGACAAAGATGGAGATTTGGAGAGACGGTTTGACAAAGATGGAGATTTGGAGAGACGGTTTGACAAAGATGGAGATTTGGAGAGACGGTTTGACAAAGATGGAGATTTGGAGAGTCGGTTTGACAAAGATGGAGATTTGAAGAGGCGGTTTGACAATGAGGGAGATTTGGAGATAGGGTTTGACAAAGATGGAGATTTGGAGAGTCGGTTTGACAAAGATGGAGATTTGAAGAGGCGGTTTGACAATGAGGGAGATTTGGAGATAGGGTTTGACAAAGATGGAGATTTGAAGAGGCGGTTTGACAAAGATGGAGATTTGGAGAGACGGTTTGACAAAGATGGAGATTTGGAGAGACGGTTTGACAAAGATGGAGATTTGGAGAGACGGTTTGACAAAGAGGGAGATTTGGAGATAGGGTTTGACAAAGATGGTGATTTGAAGAGGAGGTTGAACAAAGATGGAGATTTGGAGGGACGGTTTGACAAATATAGAAATTTGGAGAGACGGTGTGATAAAGTAAGAGAATTGGGTGGGATGGTG